CGCCACCTCCCTATTCCCTATCTTCTCGTTTACCCACATTTCCAGGGAGACGGCGCTATTGATCGATCCGGATAACTCCTCTCTGTTGTCAAAGCAGTACGTTGCGTTGACAGTAGCACACGAGTTGGCACACATGTGGTTCGGCAACCTCGTGACAATGTCGTGGTGGACGGATTTGTGGCTTAAAGAGGGCTTCGCGACGTGGGCCGAATACCTTGCTGTGGATCATTGCTTTCCTGACTACGATATTTGGGTGAGTTGTCGTGCTCATTGCAATCTCTGGTACATGAAAGTAGCGAGTTGTTGAAATGGGATGGGGTTGAATCTGGACTATGCGACTGGGCATTTTGCGCAATACCTTGGAACTCCCGTTGATGGATTCTCTCTCGCTTTTCATCAACCGTATTCTCTGTCTAAATATCGACATTTGGATCTTCCGTTGGGGCGGATCGTGGGGAAGTTATTAGCACTTACCACTTGTGCGTCAGGGGAAAATCGCTTGCTGCAGCCCGAGTGTTTGATTGTCACGATGATGTATTTTTGCCCTCACGCCGACATTCAACATCTGTTTTGTCCAAAAGTTAGCCAATCGGCTGAAAACATGAATGGTCATAGGTGACATTTGTAATGTGCCAAAGTCTTGGAATCTTGGAGGTTATTCCAGTTTCCTGAAGGGGTTTAGGAGGGATAACTAGATGTTTGGAAGTTGGGGCACTAAGGTTAATAGTGGCATCTCACTTGATGATGGTTGATTAAGGAATGTGGCAGATACTCTTGTTTTTCATGAATACATGGAACAGGAAACTGTTACTGCCATTGCAACGGATCGAATGTTGTGTTGCGGTTATGTCAGTCCGTTAACAGTCTTCAAGACTCCGAACATCATCCAAATGTTTGCATTCAGCTTCCTGTCGGTAACTTACTTCATCTGGGTTCATAATTTCATTTGGGACTTCTTTGGGATTTCTTTCCTCCTCCTCTTGTAGCCAGCTGGACGCTCATGGTATGTTGTGTGCGCTACGCTAGTGCGGTTGCTTTCTAACATTTTTATCCACTCACGGATGAAAGGGAACCTTAGTCTTCATGTCTAGCACCCATTGGCAGGGGCAAATTCGCTCTCCTAGCGCACATGAACATCATCTACCCGTAGCAGTGAGCGGTGGATGACAGGCCATTGTTTCGGTATCTCCTGTTCAGTTTGTATGCTTTCAGAAGGGATGAGCTGCCCTCATCTCAGGATGACGGCCCCAATTATTGCTTGGTGACTTAATATTTACAGGATGGCCAATGACTCGCCAAGCAAAAGTAGCTGCATGCCTCACCCAGAGGCGGTCAACTGGTACTCCTTTCTCCAACTCTACGCTGTTAAACGCTTATCGGTTATTTCGTCTGCTCTTCGTTCAAGTCGTTTTATGGCTCTCTCTCTCTCCCTCTCTACTTTAAACCCTTTCCAAATGGTTTATCTTTATTGCTCTTTCAGACCCTCTTCGTGTCGAGGGAGTATATTCGAGCATTGCGATTGGACGAGCTGAAAAGCAGTCATCCCATTGAGGTTCGCAATGGATTTCACTATTTACCAAGTATTTTTTGCCACCTATCTTTTCGCTCTCTTGTCTACTAAAATTTGCATGAGCAGTAGAGATCACCCTGACCTCTTGCCCTTTTTCGCTCAGGTTGAAGTGAACAGCGCCCAAGAGGTGGAGGAGATCTTCGATGAGGTGTCTTACCAAAAAGGCAGTTGTGTCATTCGCATGCTTCATAATCACATGGGTGCCTGTGTGAGTGCTTTAAATTGTTATTGTAATCTGCTCTCTATTCTTTTCCCTTTTTGTTCTTCACTTACGTTCCCTTCATCTGCTCCTACTTTGTTGCTATCAGGCACTTTTAGTCCCTCAGGTGAAATATGAGGTTCTTCAGCCTCCTTGTTTAGTGGCTGAAAAGTGGATATTTTAACTGTATATTTCTTGTAATCGTGCGTTTCTGTATCACCCCTTCCTATCCCTAGTCAACTTTTCTCTCCATCTTCTGAGTCATCCATTTATCGAGAACCATTTGGTACAATTTGAGTATTTCCCTTCACTAAGAAACCTGTTATCGGAAGCCCAGATATTGCCCATACTTGTGACCTCTTGTGAACCTTTCCCTCTTAAGTTGTTTTATAATTTGGTGTTTTTTCCTTTGTCATTTTTCTATCTGGCTTTTGCTATGCTGTCCTTTTGGGCTCGCAAAGGACGGAAGAAGCAACATTTTGAAGGCTGGAAACTAAATTTATATTCATCCTGTATCCTTGCTGCATTGTCATATCCCAGTGTTCGTTCGACCAGTGCTAGGAAGGCGGCTTCCGTACAGGAAGACTTGCCAATTTATTTGAGTCATTTTAGGGTATTTTGGCTCACTTCTTCATTGGTGCCGAAATGCCAACCTTCAGGACACTTAGGATTCGTAATGTAACGTGATTCAGGATCTCCAAACCTTCCCTTTAAAAATACTTTAAAGCATTGCATTATTCAACCCTTCTTTTCTGGTCAAAGTCGGAAATCTGTCTTGTACCCAAACGTGCTGGCTTTTACAGATTGTGGGTGTTTTTGAATGGCTGGGTTCATACTCCGCATAGAAGGATTCGTCTAGTGTGCGATTTTACGTCAGTTTTTGTGTTCGTTAGGCTTTTTATACTCTGGATGGCTGTCAGACCTGTGGGTCAGAAATCCTCATGCTCAAGATCGTCATTGGTCACCGTACGATTGTCTTGGAAGCTTTGGCCCTCGTTACTCACTGTTGAAAGGCTAACCGTCTTATCATCACCATGCTACTGTGATTAACGCCTTCTGCAGATCTGTTGGTTTATTTTTTTTTACCCTTATTCACAAAGACCTTAGCCTGTCATCGCACGATGGTCCATGCACACAGCATCGACTTCATCAGGACTGGCGCACGAGAAGTGCGGTGGGTGCTAATTCTTGGCTGACTGGAATTAACGTCACTGTTCCACTTGAACACTTTATATGGCAAATCACGTAAAACTTGGTTCCAATGCCTTTCACAGCTCTTTCAAGAGGGATTGAAGGCCTACTTTGAGAAATTCAAGTATTCAAACGCTAAAACGGAGGATTTGTGGACAGCCCTTGAGACCACTGGTATTGATAATGTTGCCGAACTCATGTCTCTGTGGACGAAACAGACAGGCTATCCTGTGATCTCTGTTCGTCTCCTTCGCGCGCGTGATGGAACTTACAGCATTGGGTTGAGACAGCAACGATTCCTTGCTGATGGCAGCTCTGCGAAGGGTGAGTCCGTTTTGTTGACGTCTGTTTCTAAATTAGAGTATCCTAGTCTTCTACCTACCTCTATTCGCTATGTCCATCGTCACTAAAAGGTAGTTTGTGATATTGAAGGCAGTACTTCCTCGCATTGCTGTAGACCACTTCGTTTGGTTTTGTGACATTAGACAAAGTTAAATTAGGAGTAAAACTTTAACCCATATTCTTTCTTGTGTCTAGGCGATTCACCAGTTCACTGGCGCATCCCAATTAACGTCTGCACTGTGGACGACTCCAATAAGCTTCTTCTTCGCAAGGTTACGAGTATCCCCTCCTCCTCCACCTCCTCGTCGTTCCCCACCAAAACTCCTGACCACGGTGACAAAGACCATTCCGCGGCCGAGACTGAGGCCGAATCCCAGGAAATCATCTACGCATTGCCAGATTTTACCGACTCTTCCCGAGTTCGTCTTAATCCGGATGCCATCGGTTTCTACCGTGTGCATTACGACCCTCCCATGTTTAGCGCCATTCTAGAAGCCATCGGTCGCGGTACAGTGTCGGAACGTGACCGTATCAGCCTGTTAGACGATCAGTTTGCTCTGGCCCGGGCGGGTTTTCAAGGCCTGGACAGGGTGCTTCAGTTCTGTCGTGCATTCGTTGGTGAGACGCGATACAGTGTGTGGTCAGTACTGTCAGAGGGATTGGCACAGGTTCGAACTCTCCTTGAGGAGGCGTCCTACCCGGCGGGAGATGATGTGATTTTCCCAGAGGCGTCAAAAGAGATTTGTGGGCTGAACAAACTGTACATTGAGTTGGCGTTGCCAGTGTATGAGAAGATCGGTGAGTGCGGTTGGGATTATTTCAAGCCCGGGTTGATTTTCAGCTTTCTTGAAACAGGGTGATGAAATGAATGCAGTGTGACTTAAGGCATGAACTTGCAGATGGATGGATGGATGGTTCTCGAAAGGTAGTATAAAACTCGAAAAGAAAAATTAGTCTGGAAGTTCTTTAACTTTTTGCCTAATTCTTTTTTTTGTTCTTGTAAAAGAATGAGCAAATGGAGGGTTGGGTAGTTGGTTGAAAAGATGTGTAAATAGAGACAAGGCGGTGAATGTAACGTGTTGTCATGGTGGGGATAGGCAGGTTCGAAGTGGACAGTCTGACGAATGTACTTGGATGCAGGAGTGAATGCCTAGGGTGGTAGATGGACACATCCATACCAGATGAAGAATCTAATGAGTCAAGTGGAAGATGTGTAAATAAGTCAAAGGTGGTTAGTTGGTTGGGTGGATGGATGGACGAATTTGGAAGATGTATATGCAAGTGCTTTCCCATCTCCTCGTCTATTGTCAGGTTTTGAACCTACCTCCATGGATTCCAACAACAA